CCGGGCCACGGAAAGGCCCCAGCTCCCCCCGCCCGCCGCCCCTGTGCGGGACGCCCGTGGGCGAGAGCCTGGGCGTGCTGGGCTGGCGTTACCTTGTAGGAGCCTTCTTGGCGACGAGGTAATCGCATCTCGTTGTCTCAGGTGAAGAAGAAGGGATGAGTAAGAGCAAGGACGATGCTCCGCATGAGCTGGAGAGCCAGTTCGTTTTTTCCGGTAAGAGCCCGTTCGGTCTGCTGCAGCCGAAGGGGCCACCATCCCGTTTTACACGCAGCTCAGTCCGGTTTGCTTGGCGAGCACGGGGGTTGGGAGAGGGATTAGCAAGGCCGGTGAAGTCAGTGGGAAATCTGCAGACCTCCGGTAAGAGCCCGTTCGGTCTGCTGCAGCCGAAGGGGCCACCATCCCGTTTTACACGCAGCTCAGTCCGGTTTGCTTGGCGAGCACGGGGGTTGGGAGAGGGATTAGCAAGGCCGGTGAAGTCAGTGGGAAATCTGCAGACCTGGCAAGGGATGTGGAAGGGGCAGGACGCTTTTGGTCTTGGGTAGCCCATTCCTACTCATTTGAACAGATTTTCCACAGCCTCCTCTCGAGAGGTGCTCCTGTGACACGGAATAGGAGGCTCGGAAGACAACTTAAGAGTATTAGGGAGAAAACTTCTGTAAGAGTAGAGCTGTAGCAAGTGCTTGGTCTTCAGTTGCTATGGCTGTCAGTATACTTGACTTGTCAGATAGCTTAAAGCTGAGGCTGTGTCCTGCTGAGACCACAAGAGCTTGGTGAGGGGAGCTGTAACTTCCCCCAGAGCAGTGGTCCTCTGGCAGGGTGTCTCTGTCAGGCGCATCGCACCACTGTCACAGCTGTATCGTGTTGGGTGGTGTGAAGGGCATTTGGAATAGCAGAGCCACAGGGTTAACTTGTGGTATTGGGAGGAGGGTGCAATTTTTGTTGTGGCTCTTGCAGCTGTTTTTTTGCATTGGGATGGCAGGGGTGTTTAAAGCTGGGTAGGTTGGACAGAAGCCTTCGGTGATTCTTGGAGGAAGCACGCTCAGTCCTGACGTAAGTCTGTCCAACTTTCCCAGGAATATGCCTCCACTGTGCGGCGAGCGGTACAGTCCGGGAACGTCAACTTGAAGGACAGGCTCACCATTGAGCTACACGGTGAGTGAGCAGGATCAGAGCATCTTAAAACTCCTCTGACTGTCCACAACTGAAGCTGTGCAACTTGCATGTGTTTTCCTGTGAAATTTCTGCTGCCCAGGAACCTGTTGCTCAGTTTACTTGTTTAGTGACAACACTAACCTGTCCTGTGGCTTTCCACAGCGGATGGGCGCCACGGGATTGTCCGCGTAGACCGGGTGCCACTGGCGGCCAAGCTGGTGGATCTGCCCTGCATCATTGAGAGCTTAAAAACCATTGACAAGAAAACCTTCTATAAGACAGCGGATATTTGCCAGGTATGGGCTGTCCTTCTTGCCTGCCCCAACAGCTTAATTCCTTGCTCCCCTCTTGTACACTTTGGCAGCTGGACGCCCAGTATAACACGGCCAATTTCTGTATTCTCACAATTTCCCACTCCGCTTGGTGTTTAGAAGTCCCATTTCTGAAGCATGAAATGTGATTGTCCTTGTAACAGCTTAACTGCTGCTGGTTTAGGTATGAACTGAGCTGGGTGTGAAACATTGTGTTTGTCATACCCCATGCCTGTGAATCCCTTTGGCTCACAACATGCAGCAGGCAGTCACTGTTCATTTTCCAGAAAAGCTTCCACATCCGTTTGTCCTTACAATTATGATAAACACCCTTTGTGTTTATGCGGGGATTCCAGATGCTTGTTTGCACTGTGGATGGTGATCTATACCCTCCTTTGGAAGAGCAAACTGTGACCACTGACCCCAAGGCAAACAAGAAGAAGGACAAGGACAGAGAGAAGAAATTCATCTGGAACCATGGCAGTGAGTAGAGGCTGTGCCAAACCTCTCCATCCCACCACCCCAGTGTCCCCACAGATGTGCAGGGCACTCACCACTGCCGTGTCCTGGCTGTGCTGCTGCTCCATTTTCAATGGTCTCTCTGTTCTTGAAGGGGTCTTCTCCCTTTTGGCACACAGCTTTCCCATTAGGCCATCTGCCTGACACATGCAATCTGTTTCCTCTGTCACAGTCACTCTTCCTCTGAAAAATGTACGGAAGAGACGATTCCGGAAGACAGCTAAGAAGAAGGTGAGTTGCTTCTCACACAGATGCAGATGTCATGTTACACAGACACACAGACTGCAGATGCAGTTACACAGAGCTGTAACTGTCTATTAGTCCAGAAAACATGTAATTTCTTAACATTGCTTCATGTGTTTCCTTGCCCAAGATGAGGGTGAAGGGAGGGTAGTAGATTTAAACACTTCTTTGAGTGCTTTCTCCATGTTTTCCAAGATGCTCCTTGAGGGGAAAAATCCTCTGTGCAGAGAACTGCTGGGCTCCATTCCTGCAGCTACCTTGCCATAGCACATCTCTTTCTGCTCATAGAGAAGAAGGGAAGACTCACATGGAAGCGAGGCTTCACTCATTCCTGCTTTCCCAGCTGAAATCTCTCTGTGCATGGCCCGTTCACTTCCCCAACAAGCAACACTACAAATAGAATAACTGTCGTGTCAGCTGGGGAAGTGACAACAGATGGAGCTCAGAGACTGTCTCCGTGCATATGCACAAGCCAGGCAAGGTGTTGGGGAGATGCAGCACTGTGAGGCTGGGAAGACTTGTTCTTCTCCGCTTTGCAGTTTCTGAGAACAGGAAGGAGTGCTATTTTGCATGACATTTGGGTAACAAATTACTTGAGACTTTCTTATAGCCCACAGGAGAGGTTTACTGTCACTGCATTAAGATTCCTGGCTAATTTAAAAGTGAAAAATGAAACCTTCTTTTGAGTGAGATGGGAAGGGGTTGAGTTGACCATCCATTAGGAGGCAATACCTCAAGGACTTTCTACATACACACGGAAAGTCTTATTTCATAAGTAGAAAAGCGAGAGTATACAACTCACCAAGGAGCTCTGTACAAAAAAGATGGATTACTTTCTGGAGGTGCATAAATTACTTCCAGGGTGAGCATGAGCAAAGGCTGAGCGGAAAGCGTAACAGAAGAAAGGCTTGAAATAGGGATCTGTCCAGAGGTGGAAGAAGTTGACCAGCACCAGCAGCCTGCACAAGGCACTTAACAGTGTCTCTGTTCTCTTTCCTCTTTCTGGCCCAGTATATTGAGTCTCCTGATGTGGAAAAAGAGGTGAAGCGTCTCTTGAGCACAGATGCTGAAGCTGTCAGTGTCCGTATCCTTTCAGGAGAAAAAAAGCTCAAGTGGGGGACAGGACGCTATGTGTGACCTGGGGGCTGTGGAAAGGAGAGACAAGTTCAGCTTTGTGTGGGTGTGAGAAACTGGGAGATAAGCCCGCAAGAGGCACTGAAGTTTTGGAGTTTCATCTTTGCCTTGTTCAAAGCTCATTGTTTCTTTATGGTGACCTTCCTCACGGGCTGTACCATTGTACTGAGCAGAAACTTAAGTAACAGCAGAGGAGAAGTCATCAAAAAAGGGAGCTGGGGTGGTTCATCCTGGATATCCATAGCTACAAGGCCAGACTTGTGGGAAGTGCAGTGATCTGCAGTTTTTAGCATTCTTTTGTCATACTGCATCTCTCATTTTCCTCTTTTTCCTTTGACTCATCTGTTCCTGCTGTCAGGCTGGGAAGTGATTGCTGAAGATGAAACAAAAGAAGTAGACAACCATGGTTCGCTCACCAGCCTGGACATCTCCTCCCCGGGGATGTCGGGACATAAGCAAGGCCATGGCTCAGGTGCAGTGGGGAAGGCTGTTATTTTCTTTCTAGCCACTAAGTAATCAGTTGGGCCCATTCTCACTGGCATAAGCCCTAACCAGGGCGAAGGAGAGAGGGCGTTGAGACAGACACCCTGTACTGACGTGGTCCCTGGCAGGCAAAGGGTGCTGGAAGGTCATCAGCTGTGTTTTTTCCTCTTCCCTTTTGCGCCCCCCTAGAACATGATGAACTGCGGGAGATATTTAATGACATCAGCAGCAGCAGCGAAGATGAAGATGAGAGGGATCATCATGATGACGAAGACCTGAACATCATGGACACGGAGGAGGACTTGGAGAGGCAGCTGCAGGACAAGCTGAATGAGTCTGATGGGCAGCAACAGGAGAGCGAGGGGTCCAACCAGATAGGTGAGTGGGTGGCAGAGCACAGCAGAAACACCGGGGTCAGGCAGACTGCGCTGCCCAGCTCTGCTACTGCTCTGGGTCTGAGCTCACTCTCTCTTCCAGTCATGGGGATCCAGAAACAGATTGACAGCCTGAAAAGTAAACTCCAGGAGACCCAGGACAGGAGGAAGCGCCAGGAAGATCTCATCATGAAAGTGGAGAACCTAGCCCTCAAGGTGAGAGCTCTCCTGGGGTCTCTTCAAGCCTTCTGCTTAGCACTGGCTTGCCATTAGATCCAGCAGACTTATTCAAGCTGCTGTCCTGGAAAAGCTAGGGGCCTTTGCCTGCTGGGTTAAAAATAATTGTGGTGTGACTATACACGCTCCAACACTGCCCCATGGAGGCAAAGCAATCCATGAAACTGCAGGAGATCAGGCTGGTTGTCAGTGTAGCTTGGGGCTTGCTGCACCATTTGCCGTGTTGCACCAGCACCCATTCAGCTGGGAACACGTTGGTAACTGTGGTCTGGCATGTTTGTCTCTGCAGACCCGTCTCCAGGCTGTGCTGGATGAGTTCAAGCAGCAGGAAGAGCGAGAGAAGCAGCAGGTGAGGAAACTCCCACAGTGGAGTGGGAAGGACTGGGGCATGACATGGTTCTAGGCTTGGCCTCTGACAAAGTTTCCTGAATCTTATACCACACCAGCTGCTTTGAACTCCAGTGTTACAGGTCAGGTGTGGTTGCACCTCATCTATACTTGCATGGAGCTTCCTAAGGCACAAGAAGGTATAGGAAATGGGGTTGATTGCAGCCTTCCTTCTGGAGGAGCAGTGAGCCAAAACATGCCTAGTCAGCAGTCCAAGGCTGCTAGGGTTGCTGCTTGAGGTAAAACATGACACAAACCATGCTAGCACCCATGTACAAGAAAGGCAGTAGCTGTAGGGTCTTGGCAGATTTCCTGCCTGGGCAGCTCTGCTGAGTTTCAGCCAGGTACCAAGACAGGAGGTTCCCACTCCCAGGTTCCTGGTGTGTGGCTCCATGTTGTGGGTAGTGCTGAGTTCTGCCCCAGAGGTGCCCAGGCACAGCTCCCTGTGATGTACAGGCAGGGCTGCCGCTGGCGTGGGTGGAAGATCCACAGAAACAATGAAGTGCTTGGGCTGGAGCTGCCAGGAGTCCCAGCCATGCTTTACTGTAATGCCTCACTCCCTTTTCCCAGATGACATCCCTGCAGGAGCAGCTGGAGTCCCTCATGGAGAAGTGAGGAGCGGGCCTGGGTCTTGGTACCTGCAAGCAGAGCTGAAAGTGGTGTTCATCTGCCATGCTGAAGTATGCTCTAGTCATATACCTCTGCTGCCAGATGTGCTGCTGGGCAGTGCTAGAGGCTCTGTGTCCAGCGCTGCTCTCACATACATTGTGCTGGGCTTGGCTGAGTGGAGCTAAAGAATTGGACTGTGCTTGTGAGAGCAGCCAAAACACTGGATTTACTGTAAATATTCAGCACTGTTCTCCCAGAGGGGTTTAGTTCTCCCTGGGACAGTGCGGTGCAGCTATCTGCATCTTACTGAGTCTTTGGACTTGATGGGCTGCGGCCTGGTCTCTTTTTTTCTGTGGCTTGTTCTTGCATTTGGGGGATGCTTGTTTACTGCAAACCAGACTCAATAAAGTACCATTTCCAACCCTGATCTGTTCCTCCATAGTCTCCAGAGCACAGGCTAGCACCGCCTCTTGCCCCTGGCTAGTGCTCACACCAGCTTTGCTGGGCTCCTTTGCTGAGATGCTCCTTGTGTGGCTGGGTCAAAGGGAGACTGCATGCAAAGGAGACCCTGTGAGCTGTCACTCTATGGGAGGAATGAGGCCCTCCTGATCAGGGAGTTTCTTTAATTCCTTACAGACTAGGCAGGCAAATCCCAGATTAACCTGGCAGGGTAGGAAGAGGATTAGAAAGGCGGTTCCAGAACGCAGCAGAGGGCACCACGGGCTTCAGCAAGGGTGTGCCACAGTGGGAACACCCCCCCACCCTTGCAACCCGAAGGGCAGGGGAAGGGGAGAAGGCTTCCAAGCTCTGCCTCCAGCACAGAAAGCAAAAGGCCAGCAGCAGCCCTCAGAGGTGACATGTGTGTCCAGAAAGTCAAGAAAGGGAGCTACCCCGAGGAAGACGCAGAGCTCGGGAAGGGCCAGAGTGCGCCTGTGTGCATGTACCTGTGACCTGCTCCTGGGGGCCAGCAGGAGTGGCCATGGAGGAAACCTACCTGCTGAATGTGGAAGGGGTCAAAAAGAAGATTCTGCATGGAGGCCAAGGGGAGCTGCCGAAGTTGCAGGATGGGAGCAAGGTAAGTCATCTTGGTTGTTACCCCAAAGCCCTAGGAGAGGGGAGCTGGGTCTGACACGGCCATCCCTGCCCATTATGGGTAGATTCCCTGCTCACAAGCTGAGTTCCAGGTCTGTGGTATGGAGATAGATCCCATCTTCAAGAGAGCCATCGCAAGGGGTGGGTGCAGGAAGGGCTGTTTTGAGCACAGGCAGCCACATTGTCCTCATAGTGACAGCTGACATCACCCACTGCCTTCACCTTGCATTGGTGCTGTTACCCACCTCCTTCCTCTGTCCTGGGGCTGCCAGAGCTCAACAGCCACGATGGGTTGCTGGAAATCCTTTCCTGATGCATGTCAAACAGGAGTGAAGTATGCCAATGCAGAACTCTTGGGGTATTCCCCAAGCCCGTGGGTATGGGCAGATCAGTGTGGGTTCTGCCAGGTCCTGGTGTGTGGAAGCATTTGCTGTACTGGCTTATAAAGGGGAATCCAAAGAGCACAGCAAGATACAGCACCAATGGGTGTTAAGACACTCCACCATCTGCTTGCTGTCTGAGTGGGTATGAGGGACAATCTCCTTCTGTGGATAGAGAGCTGCCAATCAAACTAGCACCTCACTGGGAGCCGGCTTGGCCCCATGTCCTGGCCCCGTGGCAGACGTATCGGGGCTGGTGAGGGGCAGAGGGCTCTTACTGTGGTCCTCGACCTGGCTCAACACTGAGCTTTCTGTGGGGCAGATCACCTTCCACTTCCAGACACTGAAGGATAACTTTGAGCGGACAGTGATCGATGACAGCCGGGAAGCTGGCATCCCCATGGAGATCATCGTGGGCAAGATGTTCAAGCTGGAGATCTGGGAGACACTACTCAGCTCCATGAGAGCAGGGGAGGTGGCCGAGTTCTGGTGTGATGCCATTGTGAGTGAGGGGCCCACAGGTGCCCACACCCCTCTTTCCTGCAGAGCCAGGGCATAGGACCATGCACCCCAGCGATGCTCCAGCCTTGCCTGGTGCAAGCACAGGGGGCACAGGTGTCACTTAGCCACAACACGAGGGGGGTTGGGGCTGCCCCAGAGGAAGGGGGTGGGGTGGAGGCTGGCCCCATGCAGCTGAGCGGGGTGCTCCCCCTCCTTGCAGCACACAGGCATGTACGCCCTGGTCTCCAGGGGCATGCGGAGGATTGCGGAGGGCCGGGACCCCCTGGAAGGGCAGAAGCACCGCTGTGGCATGGGCAACATGTTTGACTACCACAGCACGGGCTATGATGACCTGGACGAGCTGCAGCGGACGCCGCAGCCCCTCATCTTCATCATGGAGTTGTTCCGGGTAAGGGGGATGGTGGGGATGGCTGCCAGTGCAGGAACAGCCAGGGCAGGTAGCTCAGCTCCTGCTTCCTGTGCAGGTGGAGGAGCCCTCGGCATACAAGCGTGACACCTGGGCCATGAGCAAGGAGGAGAAACTGGCAGCAGTGCCTGTACTGCACAGCGAGGGCAACCGCCTTGTCCTCCGCAAAGAGTTTGGGCAGGCAGCAGCGAAGTACCAGGAGGCTGTCATCTGCCTGAGGAACCTCCAGGCCAAGGTGAGCAGGACCTGGCCACCTCCTGTTATCCCTGCCTGGGTTTCCTCAGCAAAGCACTCCCCTGTGGACCCTGGGTGCCCAGGAGGGGATGGCCACAGCTGTGAACCACCCACTGTGGCTCCCTGGGGCAGGAGAAGCCATGGGAGGATGGCTGGCTAAAGCTGGAGAGCCTGGTCACACCGCTGGTGCTCAACTACTGCCAGTGTCAGCTGGAGCTGGGCGAGTACTATGAGGTGCTGGAGCACACGACAGAGCTCCTCCAGAAACACAACGGTACCCATGTCCTGCATATCCACCCCTCCCCCATCCTCTGGATCCCCCATCCATGACAATGCTCATCCCACATCCCTCTGCCTGTGATGGTGCTTGCGTCATCTGCATGCCCATGTCTACTGCAGAAACCATGGTCCTAGGTCCCCTTGCCCATGATGGCACCTGCACCCCATGTCCTCTAGGTGTCCCTGCCCATGATGTTGTCCAACATCATCCATATTCCCCCCTGCCCATGATGATCCCTGCACCCCAATGTCCCTGGTGCCCATGGTGGTACATGCATGGCCCAGGTTCCCCTGCCCATGATGGTATCCCTACCTACAAGTGTGCCCACCCCATGTTCCCCTGCCTATGATGGTACCTGTGCTCTGTGTCCCCTGGGTTCCCAGGGTCTCCAGCTTCTGTAGATGTTGACTCTGAGCTGCATAACCCCCGCCGGGGGCTCTCCTCTCCCAGCAGACAATGCTAAGGCCTATTTCAAGCGAGCAAAGGCCCATGCTGCTGTCTGGAATGAGCGGGAGGCGCGGGAGGACTTCCTACGGGTGGCTCACCTCGACCCCTCCATGGCGGCTGCCGTGAAGAAGGAGCTGAAGGAGCTGGGGGAGAGGATGAGGAAGAAGCATGTGGAGGATCGGAAGCGCTACCAGGGGCTCTTCCAGCCACCCCAGGGGCTGCAGGCCAGCAAGAGGCAGGAGAGTGGGGGGGTGGGCAACAGGGCGATGCTGCAGGAAGAGGTGTGCCAGGGTGAAGTTGGGGTCCTGGACACCACTGGCCAGGCGGAGCAGGGTGCAGGGACCAAAGAAGCAGAACAACCAGGGGCTGACCAAGCAGAACAAGGGACCCTCGGAGCTGGGTGTGAAGAGGCAGCACCAGGAGAAGCAGCCCAGGGTCAGTCTGTGGGGGTGGAGGTGGAAGCAAGGGATGGGACTGGACTTGGGGAAGAAGCAAACCTGGGTACCTGTGGGGCAGAGCCAGAGAGCTGGGGAGCAGAGAAGGAAGATGAGAAAGAAGAGGAGGGGGGAGGAAAAGAGGAGAGGGAGGAGGAGGAGAAGGTAGAGGAGGAGAAAGTGGAGGAGTACAAAGAGGAAGAGAGCCCAGCAGCAGAGATGGAAAACCTGGCTGTAGGGCAACGTGAGACAGCAGGGGGGACAGAGGCAGAAGGGCTCGGGCAGGGGCTGGAGCAGGGAGCCAGCAGGTCAGAGGGAGCTGGCACAGGGAGTGTGGCCAGGGCTGCGCCAGGCAGAGCCCCAGAGCCAGGGCCCCCCAGTGAGAGGCTGGGGCCAGCAGAGGAGCACCTGGAGCTGGAGGATGAAACACCCAGAGAGGCCCTGGAAGAGGAGAGCTGTGGTGAGCAGCGAGCAGGCAGTGGACGAGGAAATGCTGGGGAAGGCAACACCCCTCTAGTCAGCTTCACCCCTGGGGCAGCGCTCCAGGCTGGGCACTCAGGGGCAGACGAAGAGCTGGGCAGAGGGACAGAAGAACCCCCCCTGCCCCATAATGGCCAGGGAAGGGGGTAATACACCCCCAGGGCAGTGCAGCGAGAGAAGAGAGCTTGGGGCCACAACCCTGGGGCAGAGCCAGCCTCAGGGCTGGTTACCCCCCGATGGGGGGAAAGCTGCCGGACCACTGACGAGGGGGCACCGCACAGGCAGTGGGGCTGCTGCACCCTGAGAGGGAGTCCCAGGGCTGGGGACTGGCTCTGCTGTGACATGGGAACAATGCCATCCTCACCCTGCCGCTGCTGGGACCACCAGCCCCACTGTTCAGCAGTGCCTGCTGCCTCCCTGCCCCAACTCATCAGCTCCAGCACCTTTCAGCTGGGCCCCACTGAGCTTTGCTGGCTGAGAAATAAAAGCTTTTCCCTGGCACCATGTGCTGGATTTGTTCCTGGACGTGACTGGCTTCCCTGATGACAGCCCATGCCTCCTGCCTTGCCCTGCAGCCTGTGGCACAGGGATAGGGATGGGGCATTTTTCTCTACCCTTGAGAGGGAGAGTTAGAGAGGCTGTATTTCACCCCCCTTTTAAGCTCCTGAATCTCTCCTGTATGAAACCTGTCCCCGTACTTCCCTGCAGTAGCACCATGTCAGGCTTTTGCT